GCAGGTCTAAATGGCCCACACCATCACTGCATCCCTGCCACCCAATTTCTTACCATCACTGTGGCCCAGACCGAAGGCTTGGTTGCCTATCTATACCCATCAACCTGCCCGACTGCAAGCTGGAAGTAGGTCCTGTCATCAAGGGTTTAGAGAAACCTGATTCAGGGCTCAGACACACCCAAAGAGACACACATAAGAGTTCATAGCATTGAGATATGAGAGGGAACCCCAATGTGTGCCCACCAATAAGAGAGGGCAGACGGAGCAAATGATGGCACCCGTTTATAATGGAATATTATATAGCCATGAAATCATGTTTTTCAAGATTTTTAATAACATAAAGACTTTCAGTATAATTCTAAAAGGAAAAAAAAAAGCCCAGGATATTTAAAAAACAGATTATAGAACTGTGCACACAGCATGATCCTTACTTTGTGAAAGAAAAATCCCTAGAGAATATATTCATACATTGCAAAAGATTAGAAAGGAAATAGAATATACTATTCACAGTTACTGTGCTCTCTGTGTGGTATTGAGTTTAAGGAGGATTTTTATGTTCTTTATATTTTTATGATATTCCCAGTTTTCTATAGTGAACACGTATTACTTTTATAGTCTAAAAGATCATTAAAATGAAGATTTGGGATAAAATCTTTTGTGCTAACAAAGTAAAAGGTAATGAAGTGATTAAGCCAGTGTTAGTTAACTCACTGAAAAATTTAAATGCCTTGGAACTTATCATTTGTTACTGAAGAGATTCTTAAAGTGAACTTGACTTCAAATTTAATGATAAGCAGTTTTGTTAAAATATTAGAAAAAAAATAGTCTGCATCATTTTTAAACTTAAGCTACCCCCAGTCCTTGAACAAGTCATATTTGCCAAAGATTTGAGAGAATGGCTTCTTCCATAAACTGTAATGTTTTGTTTCCAATAGATCTATATGCTTGGCAAAAATAATAACAATAACAGACTTTGTGTTTATAAGATACTTTATAATTTGCAAAGCACACCAAATGCTAACTATCATTCATTCTAGGCTCTGGGGACATCATAGTGAACAAGATGATCACAGGTCCCTGCTTATGTGTTATTAGCAAAACAAGACAACAAATATATGAATAGATCTATACATATTAGGGATGTTGAGGGCTGTGCAGAGAAGAGGTAGAATAAATGGAGATTGTTCTTTAATTTGATCAAATCAATTTGATTGTTGTTTGAATAAAAAAAAATGATGTCTCTACAAATTGTCTCTACAAATTCTATAGCCCCGTGGACAAGGAATATATTCTTCTTCAGTTTCCAGACATAAAACTGCTGACGATCTCCACGGAGGCATCATCTCAGTAACTAATTACATGTCCTCAAAGTTACGTGTGTTAATTTTCAATTTGCAGAACTCGTATAAAATTATGATGAGTCACAGTGAAGTGTGAGTATTCTGCATTTAGCTAGAGCTAGACGGTCCTTAACCTTTCCAACCTCAGGGTTCTCTCTGACAGAATGGGGACAGCTAGAGGACCCCGGGATTCCTGTGGACTCCCTTCCCTACCCCCACCGCATCGAAGAACTGTTGTCAGAATTCAATGAGTAAATGTCTATGTTTAGGAAACACTGTGTGCCCCGATGATGCGTGTTCACAATGGAGACGGGGCAGGGCCACTGGACATTTTGACAAGCTTCCAATGCATTATTTCTTCAGTCCTCACAGTTATCCTGGGAGACTGTGTAAGACTTAGCCTCCATTTCGATGACACTGAGGCTCTGAAAAGTTAAGTCACCATCCAGAATCACATGCTGTAAACCCGGACAGTCCAGCTCCAAATAGCTGGGCTCTGGGCCACAACTCTGCCTTGTGATCACTGGCCGAGGGGCTCCTGAAGCCCTCCTGGCCTCAGTTTCTCCTTTAGGGAGCTGAGCAGATTTTTTGCTGTCTGCCCCTCACTCTGTGCTCTGGGTACTTCCACGGCAAGAGCTTCAGGTAACAGTCCTCTAAGGGTGTCCTGCTAACTATTCCAGACAGATGATCACACCCCTATATATCATGAGCCCTTATTGTGTTCCAAATACTGTGTGAACCAGGAGACACAAACCTAATTAGCTTCTAATTAACTCCTTTGGGAAGATGGGGAGTGAGGATTATGGAAGATGCAGAGATGTGACACCCTAATGGGGAAGGGGGTGGGCCACAGAGGAAGAACAGGAGAGGGGAGTCTGTGCAGAAGGAGTGCTGAGAAGGCAGCCATTCTGTGGGTCTCGCTAGGTCCCTTCCTGGCAGCAGGTGAGCATGTTTCCTAACCTGACATCACTCTCCACCCCTCTTCTGGGCAGCCAGGCCATAGGTGGCCAGGGACCAATATGAGTGTCCACACACTGGACTTCTACTTTCTTTACATCAATGCTCCTGATAACCTACACCCTCCATGTCACTCCAAGGAACCTAGAATCTTCCTTAAGCCCTGGACATCTGTCTACTCTACTTTGGGTCAGAGGTACCAGTTGTAAGACTGGGGCAGATCCCTTCCTGGGGACTATCCTACTCTGAATCTTAGCCTCTCCTTCAGTCCCTGGGTCCATTTCTTTCCTCATCATTTCTGGGAGCCTCAGGACCTAGTCAACTGGAGGAAGACATCATAGTCAAAAAGAGTAAAGGCCGGCACCCCTTAGCCCTCCTGGGTGGGTCTCCCTACCTGGGTGGCTCCCCCTGTTACTTCCTGCTGTCTGTCTGAATCATCATCAATGGCAAATCCAAAAGCCATCTGACAGCCAGACCGCTGTCCAAGGAAAGCAATCTCCCCTGTGCCCCTAATTCTGGAGTGGAGGGAGGTGTGTAAATTCCCTTATACAGAATATGAGCAATATGTGGGGCCCCTCTGCCTGGAACAGCAGACATCAGCCTAAGACAAAGAGGGAAATACCTCTAATGGTCAGGTGAGCCTTTCCCAACCTGGAGGGGGATGGTAAGCAGGAAGGGGAGAGCTGGTCTGGGCAGAGAGTCCTAAGGGAGTGCCTGAGAAGTGTGAGTCTAAGGAAAAAGTTTTGCTTTGCAATAACGTGCTAACAGACCTTAGGGGATTCAAAATTGGAGAGGTGGGGGTTAAAGTGCTCATCATTTCAGGGATATTCACTTTATCTCAGCATCTACTGGTGCTGGGCATCTCATAAAATGACACCTGTAGCCAAATGCAATTGGGTATTAGCTGTGTGGCATACACCCCTGGGAATTATCTTATTTAATCCTCCCAACTCACTGTCCCCCAATTTCAGGTGGGGAAACTGAGGCTCAGAGAGGTTAAGTGTCTTGCTTGAGGTCATACAGCTAGTAAGTCACCTAGACCTCCCTCTGGTTCCAAAGCCTTTAAATACCTCGCTCATAATAGAATCCTGCCTACTTTTCAGAGGAGGAAATTGAGGCACAGGGTGGTGAATTCACTGATTCCAGTTGGGATGTTTGAGGAGAGAGTCCAGAGGGGTATTCTCTTGGCAGGTGCCCTGGGACTACATGGATCAAGACCCGGACTCTGCTATTCAGGCCAAGCCCTTGGAGCCATTGCTTCTCGCACCTGTCACTTGGGACCTCCTCTTCCCATTCTGGACCTGGCCACCTATGTTGGCGTCTTAGAAGACCAGGAGGGCAGCCTGGGTCCTCACTGCGCAGCTAGCCACCAGACCACAGAGCCCCAAGGAGAGAAAGAAGGCCGCGCGACTCAGCCGGGGGCGGGGTGGGCACTACAAGGTTTTGGAAGGCGACAGGAGAGGTGGCTGTGCCGCTCAGCACCACGCGGCCAGCGGATCTGCCTCCTGGGTCTCAGACTCCGGTCCCTCTTGCGGCGCACAGTAAAGTCTGCCCTAAAAGGGGAGAAGGTGCGGCGGAGGAAGCTCCCACCATCGGTGCTGAGATAGGCCAGAGCAGCTGGCTCCGAAGCAGGGGCATGGCTCTGGTGACTCGCCCGTCGGAGGGTCAAACTCCCCGGCTCAAGGGAGTGGGAGAAGGGTTCAAGCTCAAACTCCACAAAACCCTACTTCCTTTCCTACTCCCGCCAAGAGTGTGCCCTAGTTTTCCTTCTTAGGTGGGTTGCTCATGGATCCCCCAAACCTAGGACTTGGGGTCCGAGAGACCGCCTTAGGTCCCCCCACACTATCTCCCCCGGGGAGATGTTGGTCCCGGGCTTCGGTCAGGTAGGGAAACCTCGCCTTCCCCGCCGCCCGAGGGCGTGCTCAGGGCCAGCCTCCGTGCCAGTCTCGGGTCGGCCTGTCTGGGGGCGCGGGAGCCGGGGCGGGGGTCCGCAGGAGTCCCGGGATCCCGCTCCGTTCCGAGCGCGCTGCGGTTCCGCTCCGGACCGCGCATCCACCCGCCTGGCGAGCAGAGGCTCCGCGC